CTTGGACGCCTAAAAGGTTCGACAGGATTTAAATATAATCACATTATTAAGCCTCTCTTTAAAGATGTGCAGAAAAATAAAGGTACAATTGTCACACGATCAACATCTACAAAAATACGTAGTCCACTTAGTCGATCATTAACAAGATCCACTCCCTCAACAACAACAACAACAACAACAACAACATCATCAACATCAAAACCGCCAACAGGAAAAGGTATCGGTGATTACTTGACATACAACGAGGAACCAATCGAATACGTGTACTGGGATGATCCCAATGAATTAATCGATCGACTTAAACTCCTTATGGCATCTCAGGAAGCTGGCAATACGTCGCATGATAATGAAATAGTAGCCATCCTCAACGAGCTAAAAGAAGCTAATATAATACAGTAATCTAGTTCCTTGGTCTTTCATTTACACGATGAGTCTTGATAAATTCGGACGTCGCTTTGATAAACAAAAGACACTTCCGTATATGCGTACACCGCCAAAGTTAACACTACCCCATACTTCTGATGGAAATGTTGACTTCAAGAACGTAAAGTTGTGTAATATAAAAGATCCCACAGATAATTCAGATGCGGCAACTAAAAAATACGTAGATACTTCAGTGATTGATTTAAAAAAATAACAGCAAAAACAGATCAAATAACAGAGTTTATTTCGAGAAATCCGCCTACTTCTGGTAAACATATGGCAACAAAAAAATATGTAGATGACTCTATTGCAAATATAACAACAAGAATAGAACAGGAGTTGGCTACAATTAAGTCTCATACCGATTTGACTCCAATACGGAAAAATATCATTGATTTATCCTCTGAATTACAACTTTTGCAAGGACGCACATCATATATATCATTGAAAACAGACGATCTTGCTAAGCGTATAAAGCCGATGGAACAACAATTTAAAGCGTTAAAACATGATGACGTACGCCAAGGAGAAGCTACAACTAGTTAACGAGCTGCACAAGCCTGCTCGAAAAAATTATCTAAGACGACGTACCATCATTAAAGGCTTAGACGATTTATGGCAGACGGACTTGGCTGAAATGCGACCTTATGCTCATCAAAATAAAAATTTCAAATTAATTCTCGTCGTAATCGATTCTTTTTCCAAGTTTATGTGGACTAGACCGTTAAAGACAAAGACGGGTGAGGAGATAACTCGTGCGTTTTCGGATATCCTCGCACATACGGAACGTACGCCGAAAAATCTACAATCTGATCAAGGTAAAGAATTTTACAATAGTAAATTTCAAACTTTAATGAAGAAGCATGATATTAATCATTATAGTACATATAGCATCAAGAAAGCGGCCATTGCTGAAAGAGCCATAAGGACGTTGAAAAATAAACTTTACAAATACTTTAGCTTAATGGGATCGTATAAATGGATTGATATATTACAAAGCATTACCAATGAATACAATGGAACACGTCATCAAACCATCGGATGTAAACCATCACAAATTAATAAATCCAACGAAAAATGTATCTTAAATCGAAAATATACTCATTTAAAAATCGCGGGCCCGCGTAAGTTTAAAGTTGGTGACATTGTACGCATCAGCAAAACCAAAATGCTATTCGACAAGGGATACGTTCCAAGCTGGACAACGGAATTATTTAAAGTTACTAAAATTAATATTACCAACCCTGCAACGTACATGCTCGAAGATATGCAAGGTGCACCGATCAAAGGAGCCTTTTATGACGAAGAATTACAGAAAACAGCCAATCCAGATGTTTATTTAGTTGAAAAAGTTTTACGTCGTAAAGGTAAAAAAATGTACGTCAAATGGCTTGGCCTTGATGCAAAACATAATAGTTGGATTGACAATGATGCGATCGTCTAGGTGTATGGGGTGGGGGGGTTTCTGCTAAAAGTGAGTTCTCAGTCGGTTGCAGTCAGTCAGTCAGTCAGTCAGGCAGCTAGTAAAAAAAAAAATGGATACCAGTGCTAGTGGTTCAAGTTGCAGCGAGTTTGACCTCACCACCAGCAGCTCACACGAATCATCTGTAAACTACGACCGTGAGCTGGATGCTATTCTGGAAAGGTACGAAGAAGCGGCCAAGAACGAGGACCATTATCTGCTGTACACGCAGTTTCCAAATGGATCATACCAAATTGGATGCGGTCTAAGCCCAGCGAGATCATTTACTCCTGCTGTAATTGTGTGGAACTCATCACGGTTGAAACTATCTTTCAGTTCCTATGAGTGGGAACAATTAATCACCCAGCTCAATGTGGTAACGGTGAAGGAGACGGAGGAGCAGGAGGAGGAGAAGAACCTTCCTGACAAGTATGATCCTGTCGAAATCGAGTGCGGTGACTATTGCAGAATTCGACGACTAATCTATGATAGTACGAAAATTCTCGAAATAACCAAGCACAACATTAGTTTCTACCTCTCAGAAATGGACGTGAACGCTCTTTTAGAAGCAAATAATGAACTTTTAGTACCGTATATGTCTATGCTAGAAACTGTTGAATTTCCAAGCTATTATTATAATGCGCTTAAGATTGTTCGAGCTAGTTTTAATGATCAAAATTATACGTTTTCAGATGCTATTCAAAAATTGTATACATTTAAGCTCGTAGGCTGTACTTTACAACATATAGCGTTAGGACAACATATATTTTTCTATAGACATAGGATCGCTAATGATCTTGAACGATTTTAATAAAGTTTTTGTAAAAATGCATATCTGTCGTTTCATTATGATATACGTCACGTAACGTGACACGTGACGTGACGTGACACGTGACGTACGTGACGTGACACGTGACGCACGTGACGTGACACGTGACGCACGTGACGTGATACGTGACGCACGTGACGTGATACGTGACGCACGTGACGTGATACGTGACGCACGTGACGTGCACACTTTGTTCAAAAATACCAAAAAGATGTCTTGATAGCCCGAAGAACCGCGCCACAACATCAGAAGTAATGTTAGTATTATGTGTGTGCGTGTTTTTTTTTTGTTTTTGAACACGCTAAGTTTTGAACTCCAACCACGCACTAACATTGCTTCTGATGTTGCACACCTCTGACGACTCAAGCTATCAGGACATCTTGTTGTTGTTGTTGTTGTGAACTCTTCTTACTAGAAAAATCTAACGAAATCAATAAAACATCTTTTTATAAATATTCATTTATTAAATCTAATTACATACATGTTTGAAAAAATATATATATATATAAATGTTAGTACTACATACATGTTTGAAAAAAAATATATATATAAATGTTAGTACAATAGATAGAGAGAAACTGGAGGACGGATGAACGCTTTTTATATATTTTTTTGTAATTGTTTGCTGTGATGTTTTTTTTTTAAAACTCAATATCGCTGTCTACATCAGATTCATCAAATCGGATTCGGATGTTATTTCTAGACCTATCATGTAAGGCATCTCTGCAAGATTCCTGGTCTTTTAGTTCAAACACTACGCTTTTAAAGCAGCTGTGACACCAATTATACTTTTTTTGGTATACGTTCAAAATAATGTCATGTGCATCGTGAACCTCGTGAGAATGGTCATAGCAGGCAAATAAACGTTTATTTAAAGTTTTATGTATTTCTTTAAATTTAGATAAACAATTTTTACATACGTGTAGGTAATATTGGTCCAGCCAATATCCACTTGTCCATAGACAGTAACTAGAATAATCTTCAAAAACATAACCCCAATCTGATTTTCCTAATATAGTGTGAATTAAATTTGGATCTATTTCTTTGTGACATCTAATAAAGTTAATTCCTGTATATGAAGAATCAAGATCATTTTTGGCTTCTTTAATCATAGCGTGCCATTTATATAAAGGAAATTGTTTCACAATTTCCGTAGTTAATTCCATGGTAGTGGAGACTGCTCCATGAATTCTACTGCTGATGATGTTATTGATTCGCAAATTTTTCTAACAGCTAACTCTGATAATGTTGGGGCATTCATCTATAACAAAAAAAAAAACGCTATTATAAGATACTGTAATGCCCCCACGGAAGTGTGTCAAAACTGTTCGGAATTAAATAACGTTTGTCGTCATACGGACTTAAACTAATTTTTGACTGTTCAACAGAATATACGTTGTGTGCATACGACCTGATACAGCGTTGTGTAGCTGTTTTTTTCCTTAAATTCTTTCAAACATTCAACATAATCCTCAAATGCAATTTTATTTTTAACAACATTGTACTTAACCCCTTTAGATTTTTTAACCACCTTCCCACCCTGCACCTTGTAACTATACATTTTGCTTCGAAGTCCAACAAAATGTGTCATAATTTTACCGTTATTTTCATCTTTCATTAGACCCGGCACCTTTTGCTTC